TCGTGTAATAATCTCAGTAAATGCAAAAAAACTTCAAAATTCAACAAACTTTCATAATAAAAGCTCAATAAACTAGGTATAGAAAGAATATTCCTCAATACAATCAAGGTTATATATCACAAGCCCACAGTAACATCATACCAACAGTAAAAAGCTCAAAACTTTTCCTCTAAAATCAAGAAAAAGACAAACACCCAGCATCACCACATTCTTTCAACATAGTAGTAAAGAAGCTAGCCAGAGCAATTAAGTAAGAAAAAGAAATTACAGGCATCTAAATCAGAAAGAAGAAAATTTGTCTCTGTTTGCAGATGACATGATCTTACACATAAAAAGCCTAAAAAATCCACCAAAAAATTGTTTAAATTGTTAGAATTCAATAAATAAATTTAGCAAAATTTCAGGACACAAGGTCTATGCACAGAAATCAGTCATATTTCTTTGCACTAACAATGAACTATCCAAAAGTAAAATCAAGAAAAAAAAATCCCATTTATAAAAGCATCAAACACTCAGCTTAACCAAGGAACTGAAAGTTGAAGGAAAAAAAGTTGAAGACACAAATCAATGGGCAGCCCTCCAATGTTAGCAGTTGGGAAGGATTAATACTATAAAAATATCCATACTGCCTAAAATGATCTACAGATAAAATCCAAGCACTATCAACATTCTAGTGACACTGTTCATAGAAATAGAAAAAAATTCTACAATTTGTATGGGACCGCAAAAGACTCTGAACAGAAAATACAATCTTAAGTAAAAAGAACAAAGCTAGGAGCATCAGACTACTTGATCCCAAAATTTATTAGTATGCCACAAAACTCTAAACATGATGGTACTGGCAAAAATACACAGACATGTACACCAGTGAAACTGAATAGAGAATCCAGAAATAAACCCATATGTGTACAGTCAACTGATCTTTGTGCCAAAATCATATAATGTGATCTGGGCAGTCCCTTCAATAAATGGAGGTAGGATAACTGGATATCCAGAAGCAGAAGAATGAATTTGGACCCTTATCTTATATCTCATGAAAAACCACCTCAAAATGGTTCATGGAAAAAAGACTCAAATGTAAGGTTGCAACTGTAAAACTACTAGAAGAAAACGTAGGAGGAAATGTTTCTTGATATTATTCTGGACAATTAGTTCTTCACTATGAAGCCCAAGCCCAAGCAACAAGAGCAAAAATAGACAAATGGGATCATATCAAATCAAAAAGCCTTTGTAAAGCAAAGAAAGCAATGAACAGTGAAGTGATAACCAGCAAATTGGGAGAAAATATTTGCAAACCACACATATGATAAGGGCTGACATCAAAAATATAAAAAGAACATCAGTAGCGCACAATAACAAGTAAATAACATGATTAAGAAATGGAACAAAGAATATAAATAGACATTTCTCAATGAATGCATACACATAAAAAATGTTTAGTATCACTAATCATTAGGGAAATGCAAATCAAAACTACAATGAGGTTATAGTGAATTTTATCAAAAAAACAAATTATAACAAATGTTAGGACTTAAGTAAAAGAAAATCCATGTATAATGTTGGTGGAAATAGAAAGTAATGTGTTTGCTATGAGAAAAGCAAGTACACGTGTTCTTTAAGAAATTAAAAATAGAGATACCATATAATCCAATAATTCCTCCTCTGGATATATATCCAAAAAATCAGTATGTCAAAGAGATATCTGCACCATATGTTCCTTGCAGTATTAGTGGAAGATCATGGAATGTTTTTCCTTCTCTCTCTGGCTTATTTCACTGAGCATAAAGTCAACTAGATCCATCCAGATTATAACAAATGGCAAGATCTCCTTCGTAAGGCTGATAAATATTCCGTGTGTGTGTGTGGCATTATCTTTTCCATTCATGGATTCACTAAGAACTTATGACATCAAAACAAGTGTGTTAGAAATACCTTTCCCTTGCCCTCAACCCAAGAGTCACATTACTCCAGCAACAATTTGCCTGTCTCTGTTATAGAGAACCATTGCATTTACTATTGGGTAAATTTTTCCCAGTGGATACCTCAAGTCTACAATGGGAATTTTGGTATTTCAGTCAAATTTATCTCAAACTTAAATACACTTTGACACTTGAGAGAGGTGTCAAGAACCTTCTTGAAGTTCTGATAGTAATTTGTTGGATGACCATGCAAATGCTGCATATTTACGTGCACCTCTTTATCCTCAGTATATCACATCAGGAGCTTTAGCAATAAGAGTGCAGAAGAAGCCATCCCCTTCACCGGTAAGTAAGACTGAGTAAAACCATTCCAGAGAAAGAAATTTAATTTCTCAAAGAATATCCAAAGGAGGAGATGTTGCTGCCTCTTGAGAGAAATCTCACCAAAATAGAGGTGTGAAATTTTTCTTTACAATATTTTTAAATGGATATACTTGAACAGAATGCTTTAATAATTTTATAAAGCACCAAATAATACAGAGTGCATGACACAACCAGCCGATTGAAATAGAAATTTAAATAAGAAATGGCATTCAGGTTAACCTATCAATTATGATAGAATCATCACACACATTCACTTATTGAAACAGAAAGAAAAGTGATTAGAATAATAATGTTTAAATTTCATTGAATGGCTTCTATATGCTAAGTGACTTATTAAACTTTTTTTCATATTATCTCACAGCAAACATTATTAGTTAGGTAATTTATACCTATTTCATCGATAAGGAAACTGAGATTCCATGAGTGTAAGCAAATATCCCCAGATCTAGGATTACATCTAGATTGGAAATGATAGAGCTGACCTTTGAACAAAGACAACTCACCTCCAGAATTCAAACACTGAGCCCTTGCTCAGGGAATGTGGCAGGAAAGACAGATGTGTCGATTAAGAAGGCTGAGGTGGAAGAATAAAAAGAGAGAACTGGGCAGGTGGTCATAAGATATGATCCAAGGACTTCATGAACCAGCAACACAAAGGCAAATGGCCCATCCTATTCATTTCGATGTATTCACATACCTCCCTTCATTTCCCTCCATTTCTTCTTGTACTTCAGCATTTTACTCTGGGGTTACTTTCCCTCTGGCTGAGAATTCCTCCAAGTATTTATTTTAGCACAAATATGCTGACAATGAATTATCTTAACCTTTTTTAGTTTGGAAACAACCTGGTATTGTCTTCATTCTGAAAGATTCTTAGCTATATACAGAATACCAAGTTGACCATTATTTTATTTTACTTTAGCCCTTTAAAAATGTCATTCCACTGTGTTCCGACTTCCAGTCTTGAAATTGTAGGTTTCTGTTCATCTTGTTTTGCTCATTTTAGCATGTTATGACTGTTTTTCTTTTTATTATTTTCCCTTTACCTTTGGTTTTCAACAGACTTCCTGCCATATTGCTAGGTGTGATTTGCTCTATGTTTCTCTTACTGGAAATTTGCCAAGTATATGTATCTGTATGGATTAAAGATTTGGGTTGGTATTTTCATCAATTTTGGAAAATTGTTACCCATGGTCTCTCCAAATATTACTTCTGCAAGACTGTCTACTCTTCCTCCTTCCTTCCCGGACTCAAATTATATGTTTTTTAGGTATTTCACTGTGTCCCACATTTCTCACATGTTTTCCTTTTTCTTTTATTTTTCTCTCTTTGCTTCAATTTTACTATTTCCTTTGCCCTTCACTCTGGGACACAAATGCTGCTTGTTGCTGAGTTAAACTCAGATAAAAAGTGCTGTGAAACTCAGTTGTTGAGTTCTCCAGGTCAATGATTATATTTTTCAATCCTGCAATTTCCATTTGATTCTACTTTTACTTTCTGAATTGTCTATGAAATTCTCTGTTCATCTATCTGCTCCAATGTTTTCTGTTTTTTCTTGAACATATTAGTTATTGTTATTTTAAATTCTTACTAGTTTGAAGTCCCTGGACTAGATCCCCTATGAAACTGTAAATATAGGGTTTTTTTCTAGTATTTTTAATATGGCCCTGGCCTGTCTTTTAAGGTGTCTAGTAATTTTTGATTGAGTGCCAAAGTGTTGGAAGGGTAAAGAGGAAGAAGGATTGAAGAATTAAGATATCATGTCGAGCTACAAACTTCCTAGGATGCATGTGAGCATTTTGTATCACAAAGTGTACCAATAAAATTAATTTTAAAAGAAATAAATGAAAGTACTGTGTGATCTCACTTGTGAGTGGAATGTAGTAAAAGTCAGATTCACCAAAACAGAAGGTAGATGGGTGGTTCTGGGGTTGGAGGGGAGGAAAGGGGGAGGTGGAGCTCAAAGGGCACAAGCTTGCAGCTCTGAAGGAAGAATCAATCAAGAAATCCGAGATGCAGATTTGTACTGTATACCGAGAGTTTGCTGAGAGTGTACTTGAAGGTCTCTCACTACAAAATAGATGATTATGTCAGGTGATGGAGATGTTTATTTGATTACAGAAATTGTTACAGCCTGTATATGGCTATCAGAATGTATTGTGTAATTTAAATATACAGAATAAAAAATAAAAGCAATATGCTCAAACTCATCAATAAGGGAAATGAAAATTAAAGCCACAAGGAAACACTGTCACAGTGTCACAACTGTCACCAGAACCGTTGATTTGTTGACAAGAATGTGAAGCAACTGTTAGCGGATGTTTAAATTTCCTCAACCAGGGCCAGGGATATAGCTCAGTGGTTCCGCCGCCTGCCTCACAAGCACAAGGACTCAAGTTCATTCCCCGGTACCAAAAATTAAAAAATAAAAAATAAATTTCCTCAACCAGCTCAGAAACATATCCAGTGGTGTCTTGCAGAGCTGAACATGAGTATAATCTATGACTCAGTAACTCTGCTTCTAGACATATGCCCAAGGGAAGCGTTGGCAGGCATCTTGTGAAAGAAAACGTAAGTTTATAGCCTCCTTTTTCATAACGGCCAAAACTACACACAACCCAATTAATTGTCTGTAAATTTCAGTATATTCACAGAGTGGGAAATTATACAGCAATGAAAAATGACCAAAACTCTTCCTGAATGCAACAACAGTGATAAATTTCATACAAACGTGATTTTGAGCAAAAGCAACACAGCACAAAACAATACATACTGCCTGATTCCATTTCCACAAAAGGAAAACTACACGAAGGCTTTGGAAGTCCACTAGTTGATTCGCTTGTGGAGAGACACACGTATCTTCCAGGTGCAGGGGGTGCTCTCTTGATGTGTGCAGTGATGATTCTCCAAGCGGCAGACTTGCAGTCCCCTAGTAAGAATGTTACACGTCAGTGTTTATTTTTGAAATTACCTCTGTGTGATCTATTACAACATATAAGAGGAAAAACATTGAAACTTGTCAATAGGTTCAGAAAAAGAATCTAATAAAATTCATACATATTCGTGATTTTAAAAACTACTGGTGATATCCTTTTGCTGATAAATAATGCTTATCAAAAGCTTGACGATGCAAACATGGAAGTGCTCATATTAAATCAGGCAATAAGAGAGGTAAACTTTCACTGCTACTGATCAACACAGGAATCTGACATCCTGGTTAATGAGATGGGGCAAGAGAATGTTATAAATTTTGGAAAGGAAGGACAAAAACTGTATTTTAAAATGATATCCATGGCTTTTCTGGGGCCACACAGTAATCTGCCTCTGTAGAGAACAGTGGATTTATCCATGATATCAATATTTATTATATTCTACTCACATTTATTGGCACCTGATTTTCTTCCCCATTAAGTGGTAGCACTTTTGTATTTGCCTCAACACAGAGCACTTAAGGATTTTGTGGTCAATGAGTGGATGAAATATGTGCAGGTGACCCCAGAAAGCCAATGAGTCCTACTGGAATCCTGGCAGGTAAACTTGGAGGTTGGGAACCCTTAAAGCAACATTTGTTTCTGAAAAAAATCTGAAATTATAAAAATCATTGTTAGCATACTTGTCACCTGTGCAAACTAATAGCTTCATACCAATATGTTTGTTCTGAAATGGCTTGGTGACATTTTGTATCCATTCCAGCTAATGTGCACCATAAGGATGAATGTCAGCAGCTTTATTTTTGCATCGTTTGGTCTGCTTCTAATTGTATTCAAAGTCACATTCTTTCTAGCACACAGAAAAAATTTGAATGGCCGCATGTGAGTACAAAGTTTTGCAATACTTTTTTTCACAAATCCCAATACTTTAAACTTGTTTATAAATAAGCAGAGATTGTTCAGCTGTCAGACAAATGTGGGCATGACTGAAATTATTAATTCATATTTGACATGACCACAAATACTAATGCCCTCAAATAAACAAATAAACAACTCCATCACCTCAAAAACCCTCAAGATGTCAAATTAAGGTTATTCCATAACACAGAAGAGCTTATACCTAGATTATTGTGACCAGTGAAGGATGTTGGTAAAGAAACATACACACACACAAAGCCAAATACAGCTAATTCTTCAAATATACATGGATCAAAGCTTCTCATAGACTCAGCATGCTAGATCAGTCTGGAGATCAAGATCTCCCAATCCCAGGAACAGTGCCTGGCATTTAATAGATGTCCAATAAGTGTTTGCTGAATAAATAAATGAATGGATGTTTGTTATTTAACTATCCCTTCAATACTGTTCCCAGATTTGCACATAAAATACTCCTGAGAATCAGAAATTGTAAAATCTCTGTACACCACAAGGAGGTACCACATCCTTGAATGGGCCACAAATTCACCTTTTCTTGACAAGTGGCTAACCATCTCATTTTAACTGAACCAGGTATACCAGGTGTGCAAGTTGAAATGGAAGAAAGATGAGTTTCTCAATCCTGGGGTCCCCAGTTTTTTAAGTCACTGAAGCTCCTATATTCCAGAGAGGGGCACCAGGATGGCAGGATTTCACAGACCTGGTAAAATTAGGACAACAAAAGGAAATCAAATCTTTTGCAACAAATTTAAATGATGACAGGATTTGTCTTAATTACTTTCTCATTGCCAAGACACAATACACAGTGCCCACAACTTAAAGGAGGAAAGGTTTATTTTGGCTCACAGTTTGCAGAGGTTTCACTGTATAGTTGGCTGGCTTTAAGGCAGGGAGACATGGCAGTGGCAAAGGAGAAACAGCTCGTGGCAGGGCAGCAGGAAGCAGAGAGATCAAAGGAGGAGGAGGGGGAGAGACTTTTAGGCCACGCCCCCAGTGCCCCACCTCCTCTACCAGGCTCCCCCTTCCTGACACCACATTGAGCTATAGACCCATCAGTGGACAAATCCACACTGAGGAGTACCTCACCCCCGTGATCCAGTCACCTCCCCAAACCCTCCAATGAGCACATGAGGCTTTGGGGAGACATCCAGATATTAACCACAACAGGATGGTTGGGCAGATGTTTGCATCCATTATTTCTGAAATCACATCACTGGTGTTCACGTCAGGAATACACTTAGTGTTTAGTGGTCTGTTATACACTGCAGGCGTAGTGGAGCAGGAAGGCTGGAGGGATCTCTACCTTTTTGGAGGTTTTGTATTTGCAGGTTTTAGAAGTAAATAAGAACACTTTAAATATTTATTGAGCAACTAGCTAATAGGCCTCCAAGAATATCACCCATATTTGCACAAACACAAAAGATAGCAAACAAAGGCTTAAAAGAAATCACAGTCCATTCAAAGCTCACCCTGACACACTCCCTGGAATCTCCTTTCTTAAACATTGTGACCGAACTTTATTGAAAAAATTAAGTAACAACAATGTTTGGAAGTATGACATGCCACATCCCTAAGCTAGGATAAAGACATAGTAAGAACAGAAGTTTTCAAGGAGCAGGCACAGTGTGGAAAAACCTTTAGTATGAGTTTTCTACTTTTAATACCTAAAAATGTATTTCATGGCCAATACTGGAAGGTGCCACCCTGGAACTCCATTAGTATTGTCATTGTGTACAGCGGGTTGATTTATTCCCAAATGGCAGAAATCTGAGACTTAGTAAATACAAGGATGCTCAAACAGTAGTAAATGTTTAAATTTTTTTTAATTTATTACAGTAAAAGACATATGGCTATGGATCTCCCTCAAAATACCCTCTTTACTTCGAACATGCTTAACCCATCATCCTACTCATTTCTGAAGCAGTTCTGGAAGTCCTCTCTCTTGAGTGTCTTTGTGAAGTGCTGTATGATCAAAAGCATGTTGAATACTGCTGCCGAGCGCCATCCAACAGAAAGGCAGCCTGGTAAAAACATGACTGTGTGTCCTCATCCACCTTAGTCACCAGATCTGTCCACTGGATCTGGCACCGTATGACTTCTGGCTCTTCCCTAAAGTCAAAATGATTGTGAAGAGTCATTTTGAATTGATTCAGGTCATCAAGGCACCCACAAGAGCGTAGGTAAAGACACTCACAACAGAGGACTTCAAGGTGGCAAGAATGACAGGACAAGTGTGTTCAAACCAAGGGGGAGCATTCTGAGGGGACTTCGTGGCAACATCTTTTTCTGTAACAATTGTTTTTAATTTTAAGTGTTCACCGTATTTTTCATTCACACAGCGTATTTTGTGTGCCAACACAGCAACCTCTGAGGCCAGAAACAACCACAGTCCTTTCCTATGGCACAGCAGTTTGGAAATTATGGGCCCTCATTTCTTTTCCTCCCTGGGGCCTCACATCATCCTGGACAACCGAAAGCTATGAGAGCAGCAGCACCAAGAAACTGCTGATACTGCGCACTTCAAACAGTGCTTCATAAACAGACCATTGGTTCTCATAAGAACTGGTTATCAAAGTATTCTCATGTACGTGTTATTCTAGACTGAAATGTGAAGCCATCTGTGATGGCACGAGGAGGTTAAAATTAAGTTAGCTTGGGCCGGGGATTTAGCTCAGTGGTTTCGCCACCTGCTGCACAAGCGCAAGGACCCGAGTTCAATCCCCGGTACCAAAAAAAAAAAATTAAGTTAGCAAATAGTAAGTTTCAGGTTCTGTAATACATCTTGCAAAGTGGGGTTTTAGTGTAGATTGAGCATTTATTCACTCTATAAATCAGAATCTCAATATTTTATACCACAAATCATGGTTGAAAATATTTTAACTGGAGTATTTTGGTGAAAATCATGTCCCCCAACCAACCTTAAAGAAATAATACTCTCCAAAAAAATCTGGATTTAAGGAAGATCATAGCTTTCTAGTCATTTTGCCAGGAAAACTGGTGATAAGATCAATCAAAACTAAAGAAAATGACACAGAAAACACATAAAATTATAAGATTAAAACAATAAAATCGAGAGACATTTACCCCAAATTAATTCTCTGTCTTTAAATCATTGATATCAAATATTCTTCCTGGTAATTCTCATTCAGTTTAACATGAGCAGCTGTCTATGGTGTCCAGTGATAATTAAAGAATGCCATTAGCATTTGGGAGGATGCCTGTCCAAGTAATGTATACCTGGGATCTTCCAAAAGGTATTCTCATTATCAGAACACCTTTGAGGGCCCAGGCAAGATCTGTCAGTCAGGTCTTAATTGCCTACCTGTCAAAGACAAACTCCTGCTCACCCTAACCCTCAGACATGTTCAAATCAAAGATTCTCGTAAGGGCCACTAATGACAATAAAGTCATGCAGCATAGTCTGTCTGTAGCCTGTTCCAGCGTGCAGAGAATCTAGACAGGTCATGGATAGTCTTCATGAATGCTGGCGTCATTATATGCATGAAAACAATTTGGCAGACTCTACTGCAAACTGGGTTTTGTGGCAGCCACTTTAATCATCCAAACGATGGGGTTGTTGTACAAACCAAAAAGAGGAAGCAAACTTAGTAATATTATATTTGCATTTTAAATGATATAGACATCAGATATTACAATTAAAAGATTCTATGTACATATAGTGCCAAGGGTATGATTTTAAATGTAGATATACTATCTGTAACTCTGACGATATTATGAAAATATACATATAAGAAAACAGAGCTCGTGAACTGAAGAGTCTGCCAAATTAGGATAGTAGACACCTGAGAGAGCGGAGGAAGAAGGAGGAAGGGAAGAGAGGGGTCTGGAGTCAAGTCCAGCATTCAGTGATACTAATGTTATTTTAACTTCTCCGAGCCTCACTTCTAATCAGGATAACAATGAGAATGCTGCCTACCATGAGGGGGTTCCAAGTGGACTCAATGATTAGAGCACACAAAGCATTTTGCACCCTGCCTAGCCATCTCGCAGGTGCCCGTTACGTGTCTGTCATTCCCATTATGACCACAGCACAGACAACCTCTGCACAATGGCACTGAGGGTACCGGGTGGTGGCCCTAGCGTTAGAGGGTGAGTTTTCCCAAGTTTCCCACAGTGTCCTATTGCCTTTGTATTTCTAAAGATTTTAGGAGGTGAAGATCTCCGAGGAACATGGATTCTCTTCCCGTGTTTAGCAAAGTGGAATGATGCCTTCAGCCTATTTGTGGGTCTTCTCCAGCACAGAGATGTTGCTGGCACAGAAAGCAGCCAACTGAGGGAGGCAAGCACTTCACCAAGGTGACCGCCACGTATGACTTGAGTGTTTCACCTCTCTGGCTTCTCTATGAACCCAGGTTAAGGATTCTCATCTCAGCAGGAAGTTTTTGTACCCAGAACTGCCCCTGAATGCTGAGCTGAAAAGGTCTGAACCAAAACTGTCTGTTCAAAAATGAAGAAAATTGTCTCTGGATAAGATTTTGGAATTAGGGGCGTGTATCCATCTCTCTAGGAGGCAGTGCTTCGGCTCCATATTGTTTCAAGCTCAGATCTAGGGTATCTGAAGGACAGTGCTTTGGAGTGCAGTCTGCTGGGTCTGTGGCCTCTGATTCCCAAGGGTCTGCTTATCCCTGTCACCCGGAGCCCAGGGGTAACGGAAAGTGATATGCTGGGAGAGGAGAGGGAGGAGGCCCTGTTTTCAGACCCTGCCAGCTATAGATGAGGCCAGTGAGACACCAGTGATTTCTTTGTCCACTCTGTCCACCTCCAATAGCAGTCTTGGAATTCTAATTCATTCACAGCTGACTAAAAGCAGGACAAATTTTGCTCTGCTGGGAGCGAGGGAATTAAAGATTCCCAATTGTGTGAGAAAAACGTAAGAAAATGTCAGGTCAGGTCATGTGTGGACATGAATAGAGGCGTGAACCCCACTGATTCCACACTTACCAAACTCTACCCCAGACCTTTGGGATACAAGTGCTAGGAATATGGGTGTCTTAGTTACTTTTCTCATTGCTGAGACAAAATAACAAACACCTCAAGTTAAAGGAGAAAAAGGTTTATTTCAGGTCACAGTTAGTAGAGGTTGCAGTCCATAGTCAGCTGGCTCTAAGGCAGGACGGTGTGGCAGAGGGGCATTGCAGAGGAGAAACAGTCCATGGCAGGGTAGGCAGGAGGGAGCAAAGCATCAAAGCAGCAAAGAAACAGCACCCTCTCCCTTTTATCCCTTCCAGGCTCCCTGCTTTCTGGGTGGCACCACTCACACCAGAGTGACCTTCCCATTATCCACACCCAGGACTATGATAAACCAATCAGTGGACTAATTTAGTAATCATGCACCCTTAATCCCAGTATCACACACCCTATTCAAGCGACCTTTGAAACTCCCCCCATCAGCACATGCGGCTTTGCGGGGACATCTAGATACAAGCCATAGCAATGGTACTCTGAAATAAAGGACAACTTCTCAAGGAACATTTACCATATAACTGGAACGCCATCAACAAGGAGCACAAAACTTTAGGCAACTTAACTCAAAAGCCATCAATGACCAAGAGGTAGAGATCTCAAAGCTCTATATTGCCTGTAATGACATTCAATCCATTAAATATATTGAGAAAAGAAGATGTTTTGACTGTGTAAAGAAAGATGTAGCATGAGGATACCAAGAAAAATGACTGAATCACAGCCCAATAGCACTTGAATAATGCAAAGGTCTTCATAAAGAGAGGGAAATCTAAACAAGGTGAGGAGCTTGCTGAAGTGGACACAGGAAGTTCACAGGAGGATGTGAACACAGCGTGGGGGCCAGGGTGAACTGCACAGGCACCTGCCTGAGGTGAGGCGTGGGAGGTGGAGAAGGGGCAGGTAAAAATGCAGCTAGGAGAGCACAGCAAAACAGCTCTCCAGACTAGGCGATTAGGGAGTGGCTCTCCATTCCTTGGCAAGGTGGTCAAGTGGCAGGTGCTGCTCATGACTACCACAGGAAAAGGAGAAAGAGCAGCTTTGGGTTCGAATATGAATTCAGCTCATTCTCCTATTTATGTCTTCTAACTGCAAGGCTGGAAATGTGTACCTGCAGTTTGGCGGAGAGGCCTAGAATCCAACTTTGGGAATTATAAACTTGCAGACGACAAACTAACCTTAGCTGTAAAAACCACTGCCCCATGCAGAGCCTGGGAAGCCACTGATGCAAAACACAAAGACTCAAGTGGCCGAAATGAACTCAAGACCTGGGTAAAGGGCAGCTCTGTGACACTAGAAAGCAAGCACTGGCCGGAGTAAAGTGGCCCAAGTTTTAGGTTGGATCCCTGAGCAGAAAGAAAGAAGAGTGCTCGGAACCAAAAGCAAAACAAACAGCATGCACACAACCAACGACTGAAGCCCTGCAGGGAACGGCAGTCCCTGGGTGCTAGGCCTCTCCGGGCTCTCTGTGGAGGGCTGGCCTGTGCCTGGAAGGAGGGGCAGGGACAGGAGGGAAGCTGCAGAAACACCAAAGAGAGCCATCCAGAAACTTCTGAATATTGACTTATGTTCTGTGAATTGCCTACAGTTCTATCGTCCACATGGCACTGCATAAAATACAACCTTATCTACCTATAATGAAGTCCTGAACTGCTTTCCACTTACTCTAAATTCTTCCATCACATGGAAGCAATTATCAAGCATAGCCTTTTGTTCTTAACAGTTAAGTTCTGTTCGTTTGACTTGAAAACTAAATGTGCATGTTTATTTGTGAGGTAGACAGCTTATGAAGTATGGTTGTCACGTTTCTTAACTAAAAAGAGAAAAGAAAAAGGGAAGAGGATGAAAGGGGAGGAAGGAGGGGGGAGGGGAAGGGAGGGAAGAAGGGAGGGAGGAAGTCAAAGCAGACGTGTGTCTTTCCTGGGGTAACAAACTCAGTGCTGTGAATGTTCCCCTTATCACCCCTCCAAGTGGCCTCTTCAATGAATGCTGTTATCAAAGGGTAAGCTAAAAAGAGCAAGGGCTGGGATTTAGCTCAGTGGCACCGCGCCCGCCTTGTAAGCACAAGGTCCTAAGTTTGATCCTCTGTACTGGAAAAAAACGGGGAAAAAATAGAAAGAGCAGAGGGTGACAAGCATCACCTCTGTGTTACCAGGAGTGTGTCCTTCGCCAGAGTCCCTGAACTGCTGGTTCCGAGTCCCCCACCAGGTCAGGGGCAGCAGGTAACTGGGAAGAGGCAGTGGAGTTACTCCGTGACTTAGGGCAAGACCACTTTTCAGCAGCGTTAATGACCCCTGACCGACCCTTTCCTTACCTCAGGTTCGTGGCACAAGGAGACCCTTCTTTGTTTGCATGTTAGAGATCGGAGACGACGTGACCTCGCTCCAGTATGAGAAAGTTGAAGAGTGAATGAGAAAGATCATCATTTTGCGCAAGATGCTTCCCAGAAAGTACCCGTTCCTGAAGTTTGTCCTGATGTTGCTTTTTCTCTCTACTCAGTTATCTCCTCTGCAAAAGCCACTCCCTGTTTTCAGTGTGTATGCTCTTTAAAGTGCTTTCTGCTTTGACACATAGAAACCTGTGCTCACTGCACGCGCACACAGCCGGGGCTTTGCGTGTTTCCACCTGGGCGAAGCTGGCACCGCCCTCGATGCCACGCACATTTCCTGGCCTCTCACTGTCCCGCCTCCTGCTGTTGCCCTGGCAGAGAGGGTCGTGAAAGCCCTGAACTGAGATCGCCCTGGCTGGGTGTGAAGGCCCCTGCAGCTGTCCGGACTTGTCTTGTGTGACTGAAACTCTGGGCCCTGCAGCCCTTACTAACCTGTTCCTCCCCGCGCCCACTTCTACTGTGCGGCTGGGGGTCCGACTCTCCTAGTTCCACACGGTGAGGCCTGCACTGCTCTCTGCGCCGCCTGCGGCTTTCCCTTCGCATGCACAAGGTCCAGCAGTGCCTCTCCGAGGGACGATTTCCTTGTGTGTCACCCAGCCTTTGTCCCACTGAGGTGTGTGGGGGCGAGCGCTGGGAGGACTCCACGAGTGATCGCGTGGACACGGGCATCCGTGCCCTCCCGTGACCGAGCCCCGTGGCTCTCTGAGCAGAGGGAGGGAGCGGGAGACACGGAGACACGGGAGACACGGCCACAACACGCAAAGCCACCGCCAGAGGGCGCCTCGCCCCCGGGCCGAAGGGAACCTCTGTCCCTAGGCTCCCGGGCGAGGGAGCACAGAGGAGGGGCGCGGCCGCCCGCGTGGGGAGCGGGCCCAACCCGGGGCTCGGTCTGCAAGGCCGCGTGGTCCGTCTGGGGCTGCAGAATCGCAGGAAACCACGGCGCGTTCGGGCCACGGCACCACCGGGCTGAGCGCGGAGTTGGCGGCCCGGGCGGGGGGCGGGGGGGGCCTCGCGGGAGCCCTGGCCACGTCCATGGGCAGCGCGGGGCCTCGCGAGGACGGAGGGGACCAGGGCCGCGGCGGCCGGTGCCGGTGCCGGGCGGGTCCGGAGGGTCCTGAGGGTCCTGAGGGCTGCGGACACGACCCTCGCCCTGCGCTCGGGGTCGAGAGTGGGGACGCCCGGGACGCCGCGGGGCCACCTGAGCTCAGGGCTGCCACCTGCCCCCGGCCTCCCCCGCGGGGACCGTTTCCCTCCCGGCCGGTCGTTGAGGGGCGGCTCGCGGTCGCCCCGCCTCCGTCGGGACGCAGACCTGAGGGGGCGGCGCCGTGGCCCGGCCGTGAGTAAGGGCAGCGGGAGGGGGCCCAGCCCCTGCGCGCCTCGGCGACCGGACCTAGGAACCGGACCAGACCTGATTTCCTACCATCGCTCCGCCCCAGGTGTCCCCGCCCCTAAGCCGTCCTCGCAGTGCGCACCGCCTGGACCTGAAGTCGCGGGCGGCGGGGTCTCCCCCAACGCAGGCCAGGCCGGCGGGTGCGGTAGCGGCCGGGCCGAGGCGCCGGGACCCACTGCTGCACCTGCGCCAGCCCCGGAGGGTCAGGGCCCACGACGGTGCCCGGCCCGAGTCCACAGTTACAGAGAGGAGTGATGCGAGCATTCGAAGCAGTGTGTGTGCGTGTGTGCGCGCGCGTGTGTGTGTGCTTGAGTCAGTGTGTGTGTGTGTGTGCACGCGTGTGTGTGTGTGTGCACGCGCGTATGCTGGTGTCCGTATGCGCATGTGTGTGAGTCAGCGTGTGTGTCCATGTGTGCGTGTGTGTGTGTCCGTGTGTGTGAATCCCGGTGATGGAACTGAATGTGATCAGAAACGGGTCAGAAATGGCCGGGTGTGGTTTGGAAACCACGCTGGGAAGGCAGGCAGAGGTGCCCTGGAAGAGCCCTGGTGGGTCTGGATTCTGCTTTCAACAGGAGTCTCCTCAGACAGAGCCCAGAACCAGCTCTGTGCCCGGATGCAGCAGTGACCTGGGAGGGCAAGGGGAATGTTCATCAGACAGCCAAGGAAAGCAGACCACTTAACGGGTTTGCCTAATAATCCCAGCAAAAGAAACAAAGCAGATCGTATGTCAGCTCCGACACTGGCCTTTGTCCACCATTCCTAGCCATGCTTTTTTGGATGTGCTGTTGGATTTGGTTTGCTAGTATTTTCTCAGGGATTTTTGCATCAAAGTTCATTGCAGATATTGATCAATAATTGTCTTTTATTTTGTAGAGTTTTTTTTTTTTTTTTTTTTTTGGTACTGGGGATCGAACTCGGGACCTTGTGCTTTCGAGGCAGGCAGCAGAACCACTGAGCTAAGTCCTCAGCCTATAGAGTTCTTGACTGACTTTGGTACCAGGGTAATGTGAGCCTCATGAAATGAATTTGGAAATATTGCCCTTCAGTTTTCAGGAAGGGTTTGAGGAGATCAGGTTAGTTCTTTAAACAATGGTAGATTTCAGCTGAGAAGCTGTGAGTTCCTGCCTTTACTTTGATGGGAGATTTTTATCAGTTTTTCTTTACTGATTGAATCTCTTCCCTTATTGTTTATCTGTTCAGATTTTCTATTTGTTAATGTTTCGGTCTTGATTAGTTTTTACAGTTCTAGGAATTTATCCAGATCTTCTAGGTTGTCTAATTTATTAGTGTATAATTCGTAATGACTTCTGTATCATCATTTATTATTTTTCCTTTCAATTCTGATTTCAGTTGAATATTGTCTCCATAAGTCTAACTAAAGATTTTTTTAATTTGCTTATCTTTAGAAGACTGTCTTATTGATCCTTTGAATTTCTCTGCTATCAGTTATAATTTCTCTTCTTTCACTTCTGATTTTGGTTGAGTCTTATTTCTTTCTTTTTTTCTTAGCTAGTCTAGCTAAAGATTTGTTGACTTACCTTCAAATAACTGGCTTCTTGATTTTTTTCTGTTATTTTTCTAGTCTCTATTTCATTTATCTCATCTCTGATCTTTATTATTTCTTTCCTTGTATTGGCTTTGACCTTTTCTCTTTTTCTACTTCCTTGAGATGTAAAGTTAGATTGTGTATTTGAGACCTTCACTTTTCTTCACATAGCTTTTTATTTCTATTACCTTCCCCCTTAGAAGTACTTTTACTATTTACTATAAGCTTTGATATAGTGTTTACATTTTTGTCATGAAATACTTTTTTTTACTTTGTCTTTTGATTCCTTCTTTAAAACATGGGTTATTCAGAAGCACACTGTTGAATTTCCACAGATGTATGAGAATTTCAGTTTTCCTTACTAATTTCTAGTTTCATATCATGATGGTTGGGAAAGAGGGCCTAAGGTAATTTCAATCTTAAATTTTTTTTTAGATTAGTGCTATATTTTGAATGTTTGCTGCATGAAGAGTGTTAAGTGACATCTTGAAATTGCAGGTAGGCCATGAGGCCTCCGCCATCCTGAATGGGTGGTGCTGTTGTGGTGGGAGCGAGCTCACAGTGGAGGTCAGCCCCATTTGCCCCTCACTTCTTGCCCTCTGTCCGTCCATCTGCTGTGGGAGGAGGCAGCAAGAAGGCCTCACCAGGTGCCAGCCCCTCCTCAGACTTCTGACCCCCCCAGACCATGAGCCAGTCCACTTCTGCCCACTGTAGATTACCACCTTGTGTATTCTGTGAAGCAGCACAAAACAGAGGGCGAAAACTTATCTGAAGGCCTAATTCAAAGTGTGTTCTGGGGAAGGTGCCTGGGGACGGGGAGCCTGAGAGAAGCATGCTCTCTGCTGCTGTATGTGTCTGTTAGGCCCATTGATCCAAAGCATAGTTCAGGCCCCAGCCCCGCTGTTTCTTTACAGATTTGGAGGAATTCTGGACTATATCTTCACTGCCAAAAGTGAAGCACTGAAATTGCCTGCTATTGGACGCCAGTGTGGTGGCATACGGCTGTAGTCCCACCACTCCTGAGGGTACCACTGGGCATCGTGGCACACCCCTGTCATCCTAGCATCCAGGAAGCTGAGGCAGGAGGATCACCATGAGTTTGAGGCCAGCCTGGGCTACTTTGTGAATCCAAGGCCAGACTGAACTCCAGAGAAAGACCCTGTCTCAAAAAAAAAAGGAAAAGAAAAGAAAAAAGAAATTGCCTACTGCTACTGTATTAATCTATCCCTGCTTCGGATCTATTAATATTTGCTTTGTGTATTTATATTCTCTGATGCTGAGTGCACGTACATTGCAACCGCTATGCCCCGTTAAGGAACGGACTCCTTTGTCATCATGTCATCGCCCTCTCTGGCTCTCTTACACTTCCCAAGTTCAGGCCTGTTTTGTAAGTGGAGCTGCCCGTGCTCTCTGGTTACTGTTTACGTGGACTCTTTTATCCCTTCTCCCTCAGCCTGTGTGTTTCTTTAAAGGCGAAGTGAGTCTCTTGCAGGCACCTGGAGTTTGATCTTGTCTGTTTTTTATTCAGACCCTGTATCTTTGGATCAGAGAATTTAATCCAGACAGACAGGGACTTGCTGTTGCTGCTTCAATCATTGTTTCCCATTCTGTGTTTCCTTTGTTCCTTTCTTGCACTCTGACTGTTTTTCTTTGTGGTTTGTTGAATCTTTGCTGTGGTGTGCTTTGATTCCTTCCTTCTTATCGCTTGTGTATCTATGATAGGTTTTCCCTTTGCAGTCAACATAGGCTTACATAAAACATATTCTCTAGACTGTCTATTCTAAACTGATAAAAACCTAACTTTGGCCACAATCAAAAGCTCTGTGTTTTTACTCCATTCACAATTCATGTTTCTGTTGCTATGATTTACATCTTTTTATACTGCTTCTCTTTTAACAAGTTAATGTGTCTCTAGTTATCTTTAATAGTCTGGTACTAGAATTATAAGGGTTTTCACACCACCATTAGGATAGTAGAGTATTCTTAATTTGTCTGTATATTTACCTTGCTAGGGAGCTTTACACTTTCATGTGTCTTCATGTTATAATTAGGAGCCTTCGTCAACTTGAAGAATTTCCTTTAGCATTCGCCATAAGGCAGATGAAGGCATGATGAGTTTTGTTTGTATGGGAAAGTATTTCTTCCTTGTTTTGAAGGACAGCCTTTTGGAGTGAAGTGTTCTTGTTTGGCAGTTACTTTGTTTTTCCTTTCGGCACTTAGACTGTGTCTTGAATTCACTGGGGGCATCTAATTCTCTACGTGGACAATCCTATCTTTGTCCAGATTTAAGATGTGTTCTGTTTTCTGCCATATGTGTCTTTAAATAAGCTCTTTCCCCGCTTGACATTCTTATTATATGAATGTCAGCTCTCCTGACAATGTCCATAAATCTCACCATTTTTCTTTTTTAGTTTTCTTTTCCTATTCTCCACTGACTGGATAATTTCAAATGATTTATCTTCAGGTTCACTCATTCACTCTTCTGCTTGGTCCACTCTGCTGTTCAAGCTCTCTTTGAAGTTTCTCACTTGTCATCAGCTCCAAAATTTCTATTCAGTTCTTTTTATGCTTCAATCTTTGTTTAGCATCTCACTTTATTCTTATATTCTTTTCCTGATTTCTGTAAACAGTTTATTTATTGTCTGGTAATTTGCTGAGTCCTTTAGAACATTGTTTTGAATTCTTTGCCAGGCAATTAGTAGATGGTTCATTCTTTAGGGCCACATGCGGGAAGGTTATTGTTTTCCTTTAGTGGTGCCACGTTGCCCTTGCTGCATATGCTCCTTGTAGCTTCATGAAGATGTCTGTGCATCTGAGAAAACGGCCACCTCTCCAGAGTGTAGGAACTGGCCTCAGTGAGAAAGCCCTCCACCTTCAGGGACTGCTGGGAGCTGCTCAGACCCTGGGGCACCCATGGGGGGAACGAAGGGGAATAAAGAGACACAGAGACAATATTCAAGATGCAAGGGGACTGGGAGGAGCCTGCCTCTGGTGGGCAGACCTGACAGTCTCCACGGTCGACCTGCTTTAATTGGCCAGCAAGAAGCACAGGGAGAGGGAGTCGTGCATCATTCATGGAACAATAATGGCTGAAAAGATATTTTGAAAAATAAGGCGCAGGTTAAACTTTTACAAGGGGAGTGTGTCAAAAGGGGACAGGTTCTTCCCTGTACCTGGATGCCTGCCCGAGTTAATAAGGAAGAGCATTCTTTTCATTGTCCTCAGTAGATGTTATCTTGTCGCGGGAGTACTGTGATTGTGAGCATTCCCCCCACAGCCAGAGAGCACACATCTTCCCATATGCTTTTCTGTTTCCCAAGGCAGGTCACATCGGCCTCAGGACTGTGGGGTGAAGTCACATAATCTGGTCCCCAATAATTCCTCACATAGCCTGGTTCCCAACAAGGGCTTGGTGGGGGAAGGGAGATATACTCATATACTGTGCACTGGAGCTAATGGTGTGGAACACCAAGATAGGGCAGGTGGTGACTCTAGATCCAGAAGGGTGCTGAGTCTCATTGGCCCAGGCAGCTGGGATCCACAGCACTGGTACCTGTGTAGATCCTGGTGACAGTAGTAATGGGAGCTCTGCATGAGGCAGTAGGGGCTGTGACTGTCTTTGGGGTCCAGAGGCCAGGCTATGGTACTAGAAGAAATGGAGTCTTGAGGCGACTGTGCACATACACACTCTGCAGATAGCAACGTTCGTCACAGAGGTCAGCTGCAGACACACAAGGTGGAGAGGGCGGGGGTCAGAGGCAGAGGCTGGAGCTAACTGTGGATGCACACGTGGCAAGGAGGTGGACAGCGTGCACGTGTACAATTCCAGAGGCCAGCTGTGGGCCAGGCTGTTTGCACCCACACAGGCAGCTACGAGGATGAGCTTGTGGTGCTCCTGCATGTGCAGCTGTGGGGCACATCATGGGTGTGAGCAGAAGGGTGAGAGTAGGAATGGGGTCAGGGCCAGCTTTACAGACAAGCTCAGCTGTCGGGCCAAGGCTGGTGGCATGCAGTTGCCAGACTGCACGGGTTACCTTTTTCTGTTCATAGCAGTGGGGTCAGAGCCTGCAGAAGAACCCAGGACCATTTGCAGGCATGCATGCAGCAACTACACTGGGTTCCTGAGATGGAAAACCTCCAGGGGCTGCCCCTGGGGTGGTTCTGGGAGAGGCTGTTGATGGTGTCAGCACCTGGAGAATCCAAAGCCCGCTGGACCCCAGCTGCATAGTGGAGTCTGTGCCTCCTGCTGGGGGAAGGGACCTCTCTCTCTGTTCTCCTCCACTTCTGCCTTCCCCTGTTCAGTCAGCACAAAGCGAGGCTCACCTCTGCTACACACAGGCACCCACAGGGAAGTGCAAGTGCTCTCACAGTCTTGAAGGGCCCCCCATTTCCTGAGAGCTGTCCTTCCCTCCCATCACTTCAGCAACAATGGGTTTCCCGATGTCTCCCTTCCATGTTGCCTTCAACGTTGGTTAGTGCCAAGGCGTTAGTCAGTGTTGCTGATGTAAAGACTACAAAACTTCATAATCACAAGAACACACATTTGTTTTCCCACTTAGTGGAGTTCTGCTCCACACCATGTGCAGCTGCGGGCTTTTTCCATGTGTCCTCATTCTGGGGTCCACACCAAACAGCGGCAGTCTCTGAGGAACTGTTCCTTTCACAGCAAGAGCACTGATAGGAGCTTACACCATCTTGGTAGACTGGCTCAGATCTGGCTTGTGCTGTTCCATCGCTCAGCATGGCACAGTGTCAAATCCAATGTCAGCAAGTGCACAGGAGCACTGAGTCCCAAGGCAATATGTGAAGCTAGAGTGGGAAAGGAGAAAGAATAGCTGGGGACAATCATTCAGTTGACCACAGCCATTTCTCTGAACCACCGACTACCAAAAGCCCTTGGAGAAAATACAAACTATAACCTCTTGCAACTCCATGAATTTAAGATGCAAAGCACTGCCTTTTGCAACAAGTCTTGAGATGCAGCCTCGGTTCTGGAACACTATGAAAATTCTCACCTGATGCTAGTTTTATAAGGGGAAGGGCCGATTTATTTTAAAGACGCAGATGTGTCTCCTAGACAGGCCTGAAAAGGCACTTGGAAGCTGGGGAAAATGAGCCAGCAGACCTCCTCCCCCGGGCACCCCTCCACTCTGCTTCCAAGAGGTAGAATATAGCAGTGCCACTGCTTCTCGTCCGAGAGACAGGCCCCATCATTATCTTCATGCCAACTGCAGGGTCCTGGGGACAGGACTGTCACCAATACAATTGGGTGGTTCCATTCAGCTGTGGCGTTTTGTAGACAGCAAACAGCAAAGAGGAGCCCAAACCACGGAGACCCCTACAGACTTGAGAGAGCAGATAGTACCAGAAAGGGTGAAAATAATGAGAGTAAAAAGCAACCCCAACAGTTATCTATTCAGTCTCCTTTTTTTTTTTTTTTTTTTTTGGTACCAGGGATCAAACTTGGGTCCTTGTGCTTGCGCAGCAGGAGACGAAACCACTGAGCTAAATCCCCGGCCCTATTCAGTCTCATTTAAAGGCCATGATGAGAGCTTGGGTCTTTCCAGGAAATGATTAGCTATTTAGCAGTGACAAATACCAGTGGGCTGAAGTAAAAAGCTTTTAAAGTCTTCCATTGTAAGTCTCTTTCTCAAAACTAACTCGTATCTTTTTTTTCTGTATTTCTCTGCAGAAAAGGAGTTCATTCCTTCTTTATAACTTATAAGCCATATCTTAGTTACGATGCCAAGAAGATATTTCATCAGGGAGGAAACCAGTGCCCTGGGGGTAAGAACTTAGTGCTACTGAGTTAATAAATAAGCACATTGCTTCTCACTAAGAAAACACTGAGCCCATTCACAGTGAGCTCCTCCCAGGAGTAAAGCTGGTGAAAGCGCTTTGAGGTGAAGACAATCAGGTACACATTACAGATCCGCAATCCATGCCTGGGTATTTCAACATTATCACAGCCACCCAGGGTTTCAGAAAAGCATTCTGAGGTTGCTGATGTTTCAGACGTTCATTTTCTGCCTTTGTTGGTAAACCTTGCTGAAGCAAAGCTATAGATCACAAATGATACAGATCCCAGAATGAAAAGAGGCGCTGGGCCCTGAGGCACTGTGCGCTCGGTGTGCTCTCCTGCTTTCTACTCAGGGGAGTCAGTCCCCTAATGCATCCCGACCTCCCTCTCACCCCTCCCCACGCTTACAATGCTGTACCCTTTCGTGGTCTCTACCAGCATTTATGGAAGCTTGAATTACATGGAGATCTAAGGCAGCAACGTGAAAGCCAGCACCAGGAAAACTCCCGATATATCATGGCTGTGAGCCTCTCAGGTCCCTGGGACCAGCCTGCGACACTATCCGACGTGGGGCCTGCAGACAGGGAAGCTCTGTGTGCAGTCAGGGCAGGGGGCTGCTGGTTTCCTCCCCGATCCCGCTCCCTGGGCTCGCTGCTCACCTGCTTATGTGCCCTAGAGGAGGTACTGGCACTGTGTTTGCGAAGGCGCGTAGACCTATCAGTAGTCATCACTGACCTGCCCGTGACAGCTACTGCCTCCCAGAGAATGCAGGCCGCAGAGCCTTTATTAGTCCCTTCTATGCCCCTGTGGGTCTTTCACTGAACACAGTGGCTTCACAGCCCAGAAAGGAGCTGAAAGGACAGACCATGGTAAGTGGGCAAACCACCCAAATGCATCTCGAATTTCCAATCCTAGTCTATCAGATCAAGGCAGACATCGACAATAAATGCCTGGCTTCACGTGGCCTTGAGGCTGATGTTGTCTTCAAGGGAGACTCATCTTCTTGAGTTTCTGTAGTGGTTAATTTTACATGGCACTTTGGCTGGGCCATGGGGGTGCAGCTATTGGCTAGGACATTATTCTAGTTATTTCCATGAATGTGTTGTGGTAAAGATTAGCATTTAAATCAGTGAGCCTTGAGAAAAGCAGCTTGCCTTCCATAAAGGGGATGGGCCTCATCGAATCAGCTGAATGCTACAAAAGAGCAAAGTCTGCTTCTCTGGTCCTGCTCAGTGAAAAGAATTCTCCATCAGACTGGCTGTGAATTTCATCCACACCAGCAACTCTCCTGGGCCTCCGGCAGTCTTCAGATGGGAACAAGAACACTCTCTTGGACTCTCCATGGTCTCCAGAGAGCCAGCACTTAAAATGGAACCACCCAGTCAAGCGCAGGCTCTCCGGGGCCTCCAGTCTGCCATACATTTGTCCTGTTGGTTCTGTTTCTCTAGAGAACACTCAGTAACACAGATTTCAGTACCTTGAGTAATTCTGGAGGACAGACGGAGAGTGATTCTGCGGGACTTAACAGAGATTGAATATTTAACCAAGCTACCACCGGACCTGAGCTGCCCACGTGAACTGAGTGTTGTCTGGCACACAGAGCCATAAGAGAGATGAAGGAAACTCTTCTGGTGGGCAGAAATTCAGGCAATGCCCCTGGTAGCTTATTCTGCTTGGAAGGAGACATGGCCAGATATTTAGCTGGACAGCCAGGGATTTAGAAGGACCTTGACTGGAAAACTTGTATCAAGGAAGTCCAGGGCAGAATCCCTGAATAGATATTTGTGTCTCCTTGTCAATGACCAACACAGGGCCACCTCAGCACAAAAGGACTTTAATGATCAAGTGGATATGATGACCTGTCCTATGGCTACCAGGCGGCCTATCGCCCATCTCTGTTCATTGCCAATGGAATCACAAGCAAAGTGGCCATGAGGAATTAAGGCTATGCACGAGTTCAGCAACATGGACTGCTGCTAACCAAGGCTGACCTGATTGCAGTCACTGCTGGGTGTCAAGTCTGCCAGTGGCAAAGACCAACACTCGGGCCCTCATATGGCACCATTCCCCAGGACGAGCAGCCAGCTTCTCAGTGGCAGTTTGGCTGCACTGAACCATTTCCATCATGAAAGAGCAATGTTTTGTTGAACTGTAATGCACACTTACAATGACTCTGCATTTGCCTTCCAATGGCCAGAGCTACCATCCATGGAATTCCATTGCCATGTCACTCTGCACACCATTGTTTCAGACCGAGCCAATCATTTCCTGGCAAAGGAACTGCAGCAATGATCCCACGCTTGTGGAATTCACTGGTCTCACTATATCCTTCATCATCCTGAAGCAGCTGGTTTGATAGAATGGCAGGATGGCCTTCCAAGGACTCCATCACTACCTCAGTATTCTGGACCCTCAGGGGCTGGTGGATTCTGTTTCTCTGGATTCTGTTTCTCTGGAGAACCCTGACGAATGCACTTTCCCATAACTGCAACACCAGAACTGGAACCAGAACTTGTAACCCCGTGGACCTGAAGGTTAAACTGATCTGCTGTAAATCACTTAATTCCACTTAAAACTACCTAAGTGTGTCTGAGAAAGAATGGGCATCAGAACATAAGCTGTCAAGAAAGAGCCTTAGAGATCCTCAGAGCTCATACTGCTCCTTTGAGTCATGTGTCCTCCCAAGACAAATAGGCTGCTGTCTTTTACTTAACTAGGACCAACTAGAAAATGGCATGTTCACAGTCCTGGAAGGCTGCTATGAAACAAAAGCAAATATTCCAATAAATGAGAAGGACCCCCCACCACAACAGGGGCTTGCCATTTCTCTGTCTCCTTCTGTTCTTTTCTTGCACATAATTCTTTCAACACTGCTTCAGAAGTACCAGGGTAACCTGGACATTCTTGTGACCTCTCCGAAGCCTCAGGTGTAACGATCTGTCATAGATTTGTCCTGCGTAATAATGTTGGCTCTCTCTTCTTGCAGGCTTCGCAAATAATGATTGCCTTGTTTCACTGTGCCCTGGGAGGTTTTTGGATTTTTTTCTTGCAACTGGAAGATGAGTCAGACAGTGAAAGTTCTGCTGCTATCATTGGCTTAGTCTCTTACTCGTTTTCATCAGCACTGTTTGTGAGTAAACAATGGTATTATTTATTTCTGGGTTTTTTCTAATGAATAAAGTAAATTACTGAAGTAACAGAGCGATAGACTAAAGTCCCAATCTCTAACTTAAATTGCTCATTTTAGTTTTCAAACAGATCAGAAATGTCTTTTTGACGTTTGTTGCATGTTTTGGTAAGCTCCTTGAAAGGCTGAAATGCAGATGCACAAGAGATGCTGCAGGAGACACTCGAAGATTAATAGAGGGTGGAGCTTTGGATATCTATAAAGCTTTTCCTATGCATAGTGAAAATCCAAAGGCTGAGATTCATGACGGGTAGGAGAGACGATTTTTAGAGAGGTTTTATAAGGAAAGAGAAAAGAAGAGACTTGAGGAACACGAGAGGAGCTTGGGGAAATTAAACAGAGATGGCTGACGTGGACATTTTGAGTAAGGGTGCTGTAGTAATTCCATGTGTATAATTGCCAAGGTACCGAGCAGGGACAGATCCCATCATTCAGGGAACCCCAAGTCCTGGCTTCCCCACAAGCTGCTCTACTTCACAGCTCATTCAGTCCAGAAGCGAGTTATCAGTCAGGGGCTTTTTAGGCACAAGCCAAGCAGCCCTGATAGCACAACCAACATTCCTATTGCAACAAGTTTCCAACTGAACTCAACTAAAAAGTTAATCTAAGATCAGATTCTCCATAGAGGTGAAAGGGCTTCAAGAAATCCTTACCCACCGTTCTGCATCCCTCAACCCAAAACAGGGTTTCAAGAGAGAGATTGGAGGGTAGCTTGATCCCTGTGCTTCGTGGAAAAGCCCCTGTGATGCACACGAACAGCCGTTTCACTCAGAACGGGTCCTAGCAGTCACTGCTCCGAAGGACAAACGTTTTGTCAGAGGCCTTCACACAGCCAGAGTCCTCGAGAGGAAGCCCTTTAACAACACAGGGACTCTCTAGAAAGGGCTGTCCATTCAAATATTCAAACTGAAACAATACAAAGAATCAGCATTACAAAGCATTTGGAATGGACATGAAGCCCAAGACATAGATAAGGTGTTTAGGTCAAAAATTAACCACAGATAATAAATTTTCAACTTTATATCTTTTTTGTATCAGGCAGCTTCCAAGCATTTCAAGTTCATTTTACCTAATTGCTGCAACAACCTCATGTGATAACAATTTTTTATCCCCATTTTACAAATGAGGAACCCAAGGCCTGGAGAATTTAAGTAACTCTTCTAGAATGACACGGCACTAAGATGTCAGAGATTTTTTTTAAATCAAGCCAAGGTGCTTCTGTATCCGTGATAGCATCTCATTTCCCAGGACTGAGAGTCCTGGATTCCTGACCCCTTTCTTAGTATAGTCCAGTCATCTTTTGTGACTGCTGCTGGCAGGTATCAGAGAAACCATTGGAGGAAAAATAAATTCTTGATATACCAGAAAAGATCCTTTTGAGCAGTACCAGCAGGTGACAGACAGTAGTGCTTAGGACCTGATGCTTGTAGAAGGAAACCCATACATCTTCCAATCAAATGCTTTCTAAAACCATCTTCCATGATGACATGTCCTCCACAGCATTATGAAAAGGATAGGAGTTCTTGCAAGTGAAACCTGCCATGTCAGCCATTGGGGATTATTTTCTAATAATCCCAGTCATGGTTCAACAAATAACAATCAAAACAGGTGAAGTGCCTGCTGCTCATCCCTCATAAAATCATTGGAAAATCTGCAAGCTCCCTATCGAAGGCCTCATCAATGACCGGAGACTAAAATATCTGTTCATTTCTGCAACCGAGAAATAGTGGTCCTGTTTCTTACAGATTCCACTAGAGATCACCACAGTACTAAACTGGGGTTCTTTGTGTTCCAAGCACTTTCTTCAGAAAACGCAGTGATTCTTTAGATACCAGGAATGCCACTGGCATTAGGGAAAAGATCTTACTGCCGGGATCATCGTTAGCCCTGGGTGTTCATAAACATTTGTTTCTGTCCCCAGTTCATCATGTCCGGATCCAGCACTGTGATCCAGAAAGTTCCTTCAAGATCACACAGGGTACGTTGGACCATTTGGAGCAGCTCCAAAGATAACAATGTTACTGGTGCAGAGTAGGAGATGTGATGACTTTTGAACCAACTTTTTTTGGCGGGGAGAAAACTTTTCCAGATAACTGAATGGAAAAGAATCATTTAGTTTTCATAAGGATGCATTCCAGACCATCCTTTCTGTGTGGGTGCTGGAAGAGGTTGCAGTGTGAGCGATAAGGAGACAGATGAGAAAGTTTCTATATAATAAACCATCTCAAGCTCTCTAAAGCGATGTCTATGACCAAATGAGACTCTGTCCTCAGTCAAAGCAGTGAGAAAGGAGGAAACATAGTTAGGGTAAGTTTGAAGGCCAGCATTTAACAATGGCAATAAGAAAAAAACTGCTGAAAAGAGAAAACCCAGATTTAGGGGCTATCATTAGAATGCAGACTCAGGGGTCCTTATATTATATCACCCAGGGGCGGCCCCTACCTTGCTTAGGGCTTTCCACTCCCACCAGCCCTTATGGGTCAGGTCACAGGTCTGGAGAAAACATACTGGATGGTGTCACACTCTGATTCCCTGACTACTGGCTGTGTGGTTGTAGGCAAATGACTTTACTGTGTGCTTCAATCGCATCTGAAAATATATGGGTAATAATAGTACCTGCCTCGAATTGTAAGGATCAAATGCATAAATAACCATAAAGAACAGCTCCTGGCACATGACAGCACTCTATGCTTATCAAAGCCTCCTGAGGAAAGCATGTGTGCTTTTGGGGGTTTGTGAAGGAAGAAAGTAAAGACTTTGTTTCATATTTCAAATGAAGCTCCGCCTTTGTTTCTCTGATAAAACAAATTCAAAGAAGCACAAGAGCTCTTTTGATCAAAAGCAGCTGGGGCCAGGGATTTAGCTCAGTGGTTCTGGTGCCTGCCTCACAAGCACGGGCTCCCGAGTTCCATCCCTTTGGCTAACATGTCCCAAAACATGTCAGTTAGTAAAACAGATTCTAGAGAATACAGCCCACACACAGCCCTTCCTCCCCAAAAATAGTACCAGAGGTGGACACTTCCCTTTCCCTAGGCTCATACGGTATAAAAAATGTTGGGCAGCTCTGTGTTTATTATCTGGGTATGATATACCATGCCCATGTCCCTCACCTATTCCTAGGATACAGCAGCAGTAGGCAGTTGCAGGTCTCCCCTCAAACCAGCCCAGCCAAGATTTTTTTCCCAGTCGAAAATATCAGACCAAAACCAAAAGCAAGTAGATCCACGCCACAGGTATGTTGGGCAGGGCCCTATCCTTTGACTTTCAATCTGTGCATGCCTTGGCAGCAAGGTGAGTTTCTTGAGGACAGCTAGTTGTTGGGCCTTTTTTTTTAACTCCATGCAACCATTTCTCAGCTTTTCATTGTAGAATTAAGACCATTTACATTCAGGTGTATTATCGGAGGTGTATAGTAGTTCCTGTCATTTAGTTGTTTTTCTTCTGGTTATTTTTGAATAACTTATGTTCATTTCTTTCTCTATTATTTATCTTAAAAAATTTCAGTAGAATGAAGAGTGTTTGATTTTTTCCTAATTTGTATTTGCTTATTTACTGTTGTAATTAGTTGTATTCTTTCTTGTACTCTCGTGACTTTATCTTGCTTCCTCTTATGGTGTAGGATTCCTTTAAGTATCATCTGTAATACTGGTTTAGTGCTCATAAATTCCTTTAGTCTATGCTTATCTTGGAAAGTTTTTATTTCTACTTTGATTCTTAAAGATAACTTTACTGAACATAGTAATCTAGGTTGGCAATATTTTCTCTTGTGTCTTAAAAATACATTCCCTGCCCTCTTGATATTTAGAGTTTCTGCTGAGAAATCTGTTATTCTTATGGGTTTGCCTTTATATGTAACTCGACATTTCTCACCTGTAGCTTTTAATAATCTTTCCTTGCTCTTTGCTTTTAGCAGTTTAACAATACTATGCCATGGAGAAATTCTTTTCTGGTCATATCTATTTGAAGTTCTAAATGCCTTCTGCACCTGGACAGAAATCTTTCCCAAGATTTAGAAATTTTTCTATTATTTCACTAAATAGGTTTCTTATGCCATTAGCTTGTAACTAATTTCAGTTGTACATTTTATGTTTTTAATTGTGCCCTGTAGATCTTGTGTGTTTTGTTGTTTCTTTTTCCTTCTTTATTACTGTCCAAGTGTGATAATTCATCAACTTTTCTTCAAGCCCTGATATTTTTTCTTCCACTTGGTCTTGTCTATTGGTCACATTTTCAACTAAGTTTTTTATTTGACTTATAAGCTTTTCATTTCTAAGATTTCTGTCCCTTTTTCAAAATATCTATCTCTTTATTGAATTGCTCTTTCCTAGCCTACGTTATCTTCTTTAATTCATTCATCTGTTTATTTGTATCCTCTTTGAATTTATTTAACATTTTTAAATCATTTTAAATTATTTGTCCACTTCAATATCTTTGGAAGCAGTTACAAGAATTATGAATCTGGAGAGGACCAATGTTTCCTTGTTTTTACATGTTTTTGTATTTCACTGTTGAGATTTGCACATCTGTGGGACAGGATATCTCGTCTGCTCTTATGTAAGATTTTCCTTGAGGAGAAGTCTTCTCTTGATGATGTGTCTGGGATACTGGTTTGTTGTGTAGTGTTGCATTTCATTCCAATTGGACGTCTTAGTATATTTTCCCTGTGGCTTCTTTGGCTCTGATTGGTGGGTTTTGATACAATGCATATCATTTTGGAATCTGAAGGCCCACTTTCTCTGTAGATCTTGCAGGAGTGGGTCCCTTTGGCAGTTCAGACAAATGTGCTGTCTGTGGTTACTCTCCCAGTGTTGTGAGCAATGTGCTGCCTGGAAGAATATAGGAGTCACCTATGCTTACATCCCTCCTATGGGCAGTGCCCACCACAGTTTATTATTTCTCTCTGCTGTTGCTATGGGAGTGAATGTTCAGAAGTAAAACTTCAACCCCACTCAGCCATGCTTATCTGGGCCAGAGTCATCAGCTACAGGCTTTGGTCTCTCCTGTTCTTTAAGTTGAAATACTTTCCAAGGTTGATGTGGAACCTGATCATGACTGTAGTAAGGTGCAGTTTCTCTCACTGGACTGGGATGTAGGTCAGCAGCAAAGTGCCCACCCAATGTGCTCCAAGAGCCAGGCTTGATCCCCAGAAACACTCAGGAAGAAGAAACCAAATAACAGTTACAACTACAATATAAAACAGGGCAGATATGGGAAAACAGCAACAACCAATTAAAAACAGCAACTGCAACACCGATAATGATAGAAAAGAAAGGAACAAAAATATTATAAATTAAACTAAAACTTTAAAAACTAATAAAATGTAATCCCAGAGTTTGAAAGTCTGAGACAAGAAGATCATGAGTTGAAGGTCAGGCAGTGCTACATACTGAGTTCAAGGCCAATCTTTGAGACCTTGGACCAAAAAATTAATAAAAGCAAAATAAAGAGGAGAAATAGAACAAGAGAGAGTGATGGAGAATCTAATTAAATAATTTAAAATAAAAGTAAAAATAGTGACAAATAAAAATAATATAAGGTAGATAAAGGAAAAGAGAAAAAATTAAGTCACAAATTCCTCCTATCCAAGTATTTGAGTTGAAGACACTTCTTTCTGGGTCATCAGATGCTGAATCCACCAGGCATGGGAGGGCGAGTGGGTTGCAGCTGAAGCCTGTTGTGGTTCCTCTCAGAGCACACCTGTGACCCTATGGAATGCTGTGCAGGCTGCCCCTGCATTTCCTGATGCTCAGGTTGGGGGAGTATTGCCTATGGAGGCTTTCTAAGCATGCACACAGGAGTGTGGAGAATGTCAGTGCTGTAGCAAGCCCTTCTTGCTGACCAAGCTGCACACATACCTGGACCACACTGCCTGGGTTAGCATTAGGGTTCCAGAGGCTTTTGAAACACACACCAAGGGACATAGCAAATGCCTGGGCCTCAGCAAGTCCCTCTCACTGACCAAGTCTCAGTGTTATTTGGGCCACACCAGACAGGCATAAATCTAGTATGGAGGACTCTGGTCAGTGCACCCAGGGGTATGGCAGATGTCTAAGCCGTGATGGATCCATACGATGCCTCTAAATTGGAGGAGTTCAGGGGTGGGGCAGATGTCCATGGGGTGCACCCTCTGAGATTACTCCTGCAGTCCATGAGCAATGGAAATGAGCAGCTCGATCATCATGGTCTCAGCACTCTCAGACTTCCTCCTGAAACCACATGCAACTGATCTTGCTCCTCATCTCAGAGGACAGAACTACTGACCATTGTGTTCCCCCACCCTGTCATGGTCCACATGCTCCCCGGCTCAAACCCCTGCAGCGGTCTCATCAGATGCTCTCCCACCCACGACTGTCCTGTATGGCCATGGCTCACCAGTAATGCAGTGGGGCGTTTGAGGGGACTCCAAACTGTGATTACTCCATTTGTCTGATCCCCAGAGCAGTTTAGTGCTAACAACAGGAACTTCTCAGGACACCTTTGCTTACAGCCCTGAGAGTTTTCTCAGCAGTGCTCTGAATTTCTTCTCTAAAGTTATCTTGCTGTGCAGAAGGAGTTGTTCTCAGACCAAATCCCCAAACTGGATGTAAAGCTTCTTTTTTCTTTTCAAACAATGAAAGCTATATTAGGCACTAAGAGTTATAAAGAGAAATGTAAGCTGCAATGCTTGATTTTGTTGCTTCCCAACAAAATAATCACTTGCCATCCATTGTTTCATTCATTCTTGCGCTTCATATCGGTAACTTTGCAGCTGCCTTCTCTCCTTCCACTTTACAGCAATAATTTCTTTGTTTATCAGTAGTAATAATCTATTATTTCTCAACAGTGTAGTTACGGTACACTAATCATAAGTTACCTCACATAGGTTGTTCACTTGTGTAGGCAAGCTCAACAATATGTTATCTTCACAGTTCAACAGGACATTTAAATAGACATAGCATTTGGTTTTGGGGGTTTTGGGGGGTTTTTTTTTTGGAACTGGGAATCGAACTCTGGTCCTTGCGCTTGCAAGGCAGGCAGCAGAACCACTGAGCTAAATCCCCAGCCCGACATACCATTTAAATCATCTATCCTTCTAGTCCCAAGGCTGATTCACTTATTTCCTGATTCTCAGAAAAATTCACATATCAGTCATCCATTCCACAGTACCTCAATGCTCAGATTCAATAAACTTTCTTTTAAAACTGTAGATATTTTCTTGGTAATGATTTTTTTACCTTTTTTTTTTTTTTT